GCTCGGCCGTGGACAGTCGCACGGGCACCAAGGTGGCCATCAAGAAGCTGTACCGGCCCTTCCAGTCAGAGCTCTTCGCCAAGCGCGCCTACCGCGAGCTGCGCCTCCTGAAGCACATGCGCCACGAGAACGTGAGTCGCGCGCGGGGCCGCTCCCCCGCAGCCAGCCCGGCCCCAGCGTCCGTCTCCTCCGGGAAGACCCGACCCTCTCACCCGGGACAGGCGGTCGGCGCAGCGCAGTGGGGACACAGCCCAGCCACTTTCTGTGGGTCACTACTTCCCCCCAGCCCAGTCCTCCTCAACTCCTCCACTTCGCCCTGGGGCCACATCTGGCCTCTCAGCTCCGGCCCTGGCCAGGGCAGGGTGACTGGCTCAAGCCTGGGGATTCCTCCAGGTCTCTCTCCGAAGCCTACCTCCAGGCAGGGTGGTGGGAGGAGCGTTCTCCTGGAGGAGGCACTTCCCCTCTGGCTTCTCCAGCCACTAGCTCTTCCCTGTCCACTTTGGAGCCTTCCTCTCCAGGGGCATTGGGGGTGGTGGTGCTGGGAATGCCAGGCAGGCAGAGTGCTGGGGTCAGGCACTGTGGCTGTCACCTGCCAGCAGTGCAGACTCTGGATGAGGGGTTTAGGGAGCTGACGTTTTGTTGGGGGTATAATTGGGTCCCCAATGGAGAAAGCCATCTTATTTCCAGTCTTGCCCATGGGACACCACACAGGGTTGCCCCTGGGCCTCTCATGTGAGTATAGCCTCTGAGTTCTGTCCCTTCCACCCCAGTCTGGACACCCACACCTTGGCTCCTGACAGATGTTCTGGCCCCTTCTGGGTCACCAGAGCCACCAGCCCCCTGGGAACATGAGGTCCCTGTGTCCACCATCAAACTGACCCCTTGATTCCTGGCCCATGCCACTTGGCCCCTCTGGTGGGTTCTTTATTTTTCCTGGCTCCCTGTGTCCTTTCCAGCCTTGGGCTGGGTTGGCTCCCTTTCTGTGTTCAGTCCACTTGGGGTACCCTTCCACCTCGCAGTCACACTTGGGCCTCATCCCACAAGTTCAGCCACCTCCATCCTTGGTTTCATCCAGCCTCCCACTTCTACCCACCCCCACCCAGGGGCCTATCCATGTCCTCTGTTTAACCAAGGGCTCTGGGCCTCCTCCTCGGTCACCTCCCACCTCTGTCTGTGCTGGCGTCACTCTGCCATGCTCCTGAGTGCCCACAGAGCTGGGAGGTTCTGCCGATTGTGATCCACCTTCCCCTGCGGAGACTGAGGCTCAGAGAGGCTGGGTGCTCCACTCAGTGGGGACAGGGAGCTGCCACAGACCCTGGTGCTGCCCCCTGTTCCCCCCTTAGCCATTTCAGGCTTTCTCTTCTCAAACCCTGGCCCCTTGCTCTGGGCCGTAGTCCACACTACAGAGGTCAGATGGACACTGTTCCTCTTCTTTCTAGAGCTCTTCCTGTGCTCCTGGACTCCAGTTCTCAGGTCATGTCTGCTGCTCCATCTGCCCACCAGGCCCTTGGCTTCACCCTTCCATGTTTCTGCCCACGGGTCTGGCTTTAAGTGCTGTGGTCACCCAGTTGCCTTTCCATTTTGGTGCCACTGTTTCTGTGTCCCACTCTGTTCCTAAACTGCAGCCAGAAGGTCATGTTCAGCATCACACTGGGTTTCAACCCTTCTAAAGTGGCTCTTCAGATCAAATTGGTCCTTCCTCTGGTGTGTGTGTGAGGTCCTGCTGGGCTTCCTCTGGCCTCTCCTCCACTCTCCCCTGGCCTGGGCATCAGCCACCTGGCCTCCCCCTCTGTTACGCAGACCCTAGAGGTGTTCTCTCTCCTGTCTTGGCCACCACGTGCCAGGCCTCTACTGGCACATCCACCTTCCCCTCAGGCTGCTGGCACATGCAGTTCTCCTTCAGGAGGGCTTCCTGGGCCTCTAAAGACCCCTTTACCCCCAAGTGCTACAACTGCCATTGTCACGTTGCCTGTTTATCTGCAGGAACCAGGTCGGCCACTTAGTCTCGACAGCAGAGGCATGAACCCAGGAAGGAGCTGCCTGATGTCCCCACCCTGGTCCTGGGTCTACTTGGCTGGGGAGAGGGACAGGGAGGGAGGGCCAAGAGCTGGTGCCTGAGGACTGCTTGGATCCAGCCCAGACTTAGGACTGCCTCTCTCCCAGAGAATCCCGGCTGTCACCACCCAAAAATAGCCTGTGTCTGTGGGCAAGTATACCAGTGCTTGGCCACACTGCCAGTGGGCACAGTACAAGGAGACAAGGACAGCTGCAGGGGGGGCTTCCTGCCTTAGTGCAGTGCTACTGTGGTGTGTCCTAAAGCCCTGCATCCTCTGTATGTCCTTGACACCACCTGGCCCTCTGCCCCGCAGGTGATTGGGCTGCTGGATGTGTTCACTCCTGATGAGACCCTGGATGACTTCACAGACTTGTGAGTACTGACCTGGGCTGGCCAGGGGTGGGAGGGGGACAGATGGCTCCTGTGCTGGCTTCATGTTTTGGGTGGTCTTGGGGGCCTTCTCCCCATAGCATGAATGGGGGTCCAGGGGCACATAGCCCATCCCCCCCTCACATCACAGCCTACTGCACACCTTCCCGTGTTCCTGGGACCCACCGACGCTGGCAGGCCTGGGAAGAGCTGGGGCTTCCTCTTCCCTCCAGCCTGGCGCCTGGGCCCTTCATGTTGGAGGTGTGAACCCTGGACCCAAGGTTTGTGAACAGGCAGGTCCCGTGCTTCAGACTCTGGCACCTGGTGTGTGCCTCGAAACCAGAGCTGCTGACCTTTGTTGGCAGATGGGTCCCCACCCTGTCTCTGCCCTGCTGAGCTTGCCCTGCAGCTGGCCAACCCACACTTGCATTGCTGTGGGCCGAGTCACAGTAGGTCTGGGAAGGGCTGGAGAGGGCAGCAGGCTGCTTGTTGCTTGTCAGAGTCAAGGCCCCCACGGCCCAGTGCTCCCTGGAGGGTGCTGATGTCACGTTTCCTCTACCTGCCTGCTCATCTCTCGGGCCCACATGTCTGAGGTCCCCACCTCGGCCCCAGACTCCCTCCTCCCCTGCCTGTGAGGCCTTGTGTCTAGTGGCCTTCAAGGCCCAGCCCTAGCCCTTGCCTGGCAGGCAGCACTCTTCAGCTGGAAGTCCAAAATCCCTGTCACAGCTGGGTACAGTGGCGTGAGCCTGTGACCTCAGTTCATCCAGAGGCTGTCGCAGAAGGAGCGTAAGTTCGAGGCCAGCCTTGGCATGACAGCAGAACCCTGTCTCAAAAAAAACAAAACAGCCAAGTCATGGTGGTGCCTGCTGTCATCCCAGCAGGAGCCTGAGGCAGGAGGATCACAAGTTCAAAGCCAGTCTCAGCAATTTAACAAGACCCCTCAGCAACTTAATGAGTTCCTGTCTCAAAATAAAAAAACTAAATAGGCTGGGGATGTGGCTCAATTGTGCATTCAATCCCTGGTACCAACGAAATGAACAAACAAAAAAAAGCAGGACTTCTGCTCAGTGGCAGAGCCCTTGTCTAGCACGGGTGAGGCCACGGGTTTAATAACGACAAAACCAAAAACCCCAAGGAGCAATTCCTTCCCCACCAGACCTTCCAGGCAGGGTAGGTGGGAGGGAGGGTGGGAATGTGCTGGAAAAGATGAGGCCATTGCTCACTGACTGGTGGGGGTCACTAACCAATGATGAGTGAGGCTTGGTATAGCAGGGACATTGACTGGACTGGGAGGGCAGCAGGACCCTGCGATCCAGTGAGGACTAGGTGCTACAGGGTACCCCTTGAGGAGTACCTTCTGGGGCAGGGTCTTCTAGGGTTTGAGCCTGGGCCCAGCCCAGATCCTGAGGCTGGCCCTGCCAGCTGACTGTACTGGGGTGTCCCTTCTGCAGCTACCTTGTGATGCCATTCATGGGCACTGACCTGGGCAAACTCATGAAGCATGAGACCCTGAGTGAGGACCGAGTCCAGTTCCTGGTGTATCAGATGCTGAAGGGGCTGAGGGTGAGGCCTGCAGGGTGGCCGCAGGGAGGTGGGTGGAATAGGGCCTGGTGGCACGGAGGGCCTGTGAGCTGATCCCCTCTTTCCCACAGTATATCCATGCTGCTGGTGTCATCCACAGGGTGAGTCCTGGCAGGGGTGGGAGGCCACCCGACTGCCCCTCCCTGGTTGTGTGGGCACAAGAGGGGTTTTATCGGGGACTCCGTTCTTACCTGTAAGGTGGGTACAGTGTGGTCTGAGGTGGAGGTGCACACAACACCCCAGGCACAGCCTGTCAGAAGTCTGCCCTGGGGCCCGTCCCTCTGCCCTTCCTCGAAGGTCTTTGGGGGCCAGGGGCCAAGCCTCGCCTGGTGGCCCTAGTTGAGGTGCTGCCCAGGCCCTTGGATTGTACCTGCTCTGGCAGGCAGGACCCAGTGGCCACCTTTTCTCTGCCCCAGGACCTGAAGCCTGGCAACCTGGCTGTGAACGAGGACTGTGAGCTGAAGGTTTGCTGGGCAGGGTGCAGGGCTCCTTCTCCATCTGCCCAGCCACCTACATACCCTCAGACCTAGGCAGGAGCCAAACAGTGGGGGCCACAGACACTTGGTGGGGAGGCACTGAGCACGCTCCATCCTTACTCAGGTGAAGGGCAGGTGTCCCCAGGCTGATGTCTGACCCAGGGCAGGGCTGTGAAGGCCCTCCACAGGTCAACAGGGTGACTCCTGCTCCTGAGGTGGCTTAGGCTGGGTGCATTAGCCACCAGGAGGCACCTGGGGGTCCAAGGCTAAGTGGCAGAGTCCCAGGATGGAGGCTTCGAGTCCTGCTCCCTTAGGATCTCCGGGGCAACAGTGGCCTGTCCACTTCTCAGGGGTTCCCTCAGCCCCACCCCAATTCTTCCTCAGATCCTGGACTTTGGTCTGGCCAGGCAAGCAGACAGCGAGATGACAGGGTATGTGGTGACCCGGTGGTACCGGGCACCCGAGGTCATCTTGAATTGGATGCGCTACACACAGACAGGTGAGAGGCCTCCCTTCGTGCCTGGAGACCCATGCTGCATCTGCCTCCCACCTGGTTCTTCATGGGGAGCCCTGTGGCCACTGCTCCCCAGGAGGCTGTGGGCAGGGTGAACCTGCCCGGCCTGAGTGTACATGCTCTCCCTGGCTCCATGTCTGTGTCCTCCTCCTACCTGCCCCTGTGTCTGTGTTCCTATGCCCCCTGCCCCTCGTGTGCCTGTTGGTCCCCCTGCCTTCGGGGCACTGACAGAGCTTCTGTCTCAGTGGACATCTGGTCGGTGGGCTGCATCATGGCGGAGATGATTACAGGGAAGATACTGTTTAAGGGCAATGACCGTATCCTCCCTAGTGGGCATCATGAAGCTGGGGAGGTGGGTGGTTGTATGGGTCCTGCCCTCTGGCCGGTGCTGTGCTCCTGACCTCCATGCAGACCTGGACCAGCTGAAGGAGATCATGAAGGTGACAGGAACACCTCCTGCCGAGTTTGTGCAGAAGCTGCAGAGTGCTGAGGTTGGTAGGGAGTGGGCAGGCCAGCTGGACCTGCCTGGGAGCTGGCCCCTCACCATTCTTCCTATATAGGCCAAGAACTACATGAAGGGCCTCCCTGAGCTGGAGAAGAAGGATTTCGCCTCTGTCCTGACCAATGCAAGCCCTCTGGGTAGGTCTGAGTTAGGTGGGGGTCCTGGGTGCTGGGGCACAAAGCCACCTGGTGGGCCTGATGCCTCCTCCCCCAGCTGTGGATCTCCTGGAGAAGATGCTGGTGCTGGATGCAGAGCAGCGGGTGACGGCGGCTGAGGCACTGGCCCACCCATACTTTGAATCCCTGCACGACACAGAGGACGAACCCAAGGCCCAGAAGTATGACGATTCCTTTGATGATGTGGACCGCACCCTGGATGAGTGGAAGCGTGAGTGGGGTTCCCCATGGGGCCCGTGTTGGGGCCTTGTGTGCCCTGGGCCCCTAACCTATGTGCTTGGGTTGCAGGTCAAGTGAGAAAGAGGACAGGAGATCAGAGGGCAGCATGGGGCTATAGGACTTGTTCAGGGTGACCTCTGGCTAGGGCAGAAGGCCGTGGGGAGGGGTGTTCCTGGCAGAGGCTCCACACAAAGATTGGCACAGGATGTATCCCAGGAGCTATGCAGAGCAGGTCTGAGCTCAGGGCAGCAGTGCCCACTGGCCTCTCCCAGCCCCCAAGCCTGCTAGCTCAGCCTCCCTCATGGGGCTACCTAGCCTCTCCCAAGTCTAGGCCAGCGATCCTGCCAATTGGAGCCCTCCACATCCATCTGCTTGTCCTCAGGCCTCTCCGCTCATAACTCTTGAAATGGTTCTCACCTCTTCTTGCTGGTTTCAGGACCCCTCTCACCTGGACAACTGCACACTTTTCATATCCTGCCTACAGGGAAAGTCAGCCCCCATGCAGGCCCCAGGGCCAAAGCCCACACCTCTCCAAGGCTGTGCTCAGCACCGTCAGCTACGTGCTGACTGTCCCCTTACACAGAGGGCCCTCCCTTCATTTTTAGTTGTAGATGACACAATGCCTTTATTTTATTATTTATTGATTTATTTTATGTGGTGCTGAGAATTGAACCCAGTGCCTCCTATGTGCTAGGCAGGTGCTAGACCACTCAGCCCCAGCCCCAGCCTGCTCCCTTCATCTTTGAGGGCTGACCTCAGGCTGGCCTCAGGGAACCTTCCCCAGTCCCCTGCCTGCCCCTGGAAGGCTGTTCTGCAGATGCAGCCTGGGGGACAGAAATGTCTGATGCCAGCACCAAGGTGTGCGACCGAGTGCCAAGCTTCATCCTGTTGATCTCCTCGACCTGAGGCTTTGGTCCTGCAATCTGGGGTGGAGGGGCTGGACAGGCTGGGGTTTCCAGAACACAGTCCTGAGGGATGCAGTGTTCCTCTGTGCCTCGGCAGGAGCTCCACCCTTCTGCTCTCATGTGCTTATGAAAAGTTTCTGGTGCTAAACAAGATAACACGAAAACCATAGACCTCAGGATCCTCTCTGTGGTTTCCGCCCACATACACCGTGGCTAGGAGCTTAGAGGCCACGGAGGACACGTGGCCCAGCCCTGGGAGGGAACACGAACTCCCATCACCTCCTGTTTCCCTGGGACGGCCGGCTTTATAGCAGTTCTCATGCAGACTTTCCCTAGGTGGGCTGGCCTAGTTAGGATAAGAAGAAAGCTCCATGAGGTTCTGGCCTCTGTCCTCCAGTGAGAGCAGAGGCTGACTGTCTGGTCTGTCTCTTGTCCCTCTGCAGGTGTCACTTATAAAGAAGTGCTAAGCTTCAAGCCTCCCAGGCAGCTGGGTGCTAGGGTTCCCAAGGAGACGGCCCTGTGAAGACCCCTGGGTGACATAGGAATATGCTAAGAACTCTGGATGGGAGCCTCATGCCTTAGCCTCCCTTCACTGGGAGGGATCCTGATTATCACTGTGGCCTTGCCTGGAACTTACATCCTAGGGCAGCTGCTTGGAGAGGCCGAGTAGACTCCCTCTGTGAGTGGACTCCCTCTTTTCCCAAGTCTGTATCCCTGCTCTTCGGTGCTCCCAGAGCATCTTGACCTTAGGTGACCCTGGAGCATCTTCGCTGTCTGCACAGTACCTCTGCCTATCCTGGAATGGAATACGAACTCCCATCACCTCCTGTTTCCCTGGGGCAGTTGGCTTTATAGCTGGCCTTGGGCCTTGGGCTCTGGAGCAGTGGTCCCTTCCAACAGGGCGCAGCAAAAAGCTCAGAGATGTTATGGCTCAGGGTCAAGTGCTGGCCTCTGAGCCCTGCCTGCTCTGGACTGTGCAGAGTTCAGCTCTCAAGAAAAGGAGAGGAAGGGCAGTGGGCTTTGACTCAGGGACATCATCTCTCCTGGGGATGCTCATCATGGATTTTCCTGCAAACCCAACCTGGAGTGTAAACCAGACATTTGGTGTGCCCATCTGGCCAGAAGGAAATAAACCCTTTTGTAGACCTTCCACTCTGGCTGTGTGGCCTGATGCCTGAGCCCATCCTCAGACTTCTGAACTCCTGCCCTGCATACAGAAAGGTGGCATCCTGAGCTCAACCCTCCAGCCTGGGGGGGTCCAAGCACCCTGCCTCCCCACAGATGACATCACTGGTGTCCACCTTCCTAGCCCTGTATCAAAACAGAAAGCCCCACATTAGGGCTTGGCCCCCTCCATTCTTGTGGGGTGACCTTACTCTTTTTTTTTTTTTTTTTTTAAGAATCTGTCTATGACAAGGAAGCACAGCTTTCTTTCTTTTTTTTTTTTAAGAGAGAGTGAGAATTTTTTTAATATTTATTTTTTAGTTTTTCAGTGGACACAACATCTTTGTTTGTATGTGGTGCTGAGGATCGAACTCGGGCCGCACGCATGCCAGGCGAGTGCGCTACTGCTTGAGCCACATCCCCAGCCCCGACCTGACTCTTTATTCAGGCTTAAATTCTGAGCCAGTTGGGGGCAGGGCTGATGCGGGATCAGCCAATGGGAAGGATATTAGGGCCTCACCAGGGTCTCAGACCCTGCTGAATTACCTTCACCCTCCAAGGCTGAGGCTCCTGGGAGGAAAGGGATGTGCATGCCAACTGAGGTACCTCTGATCTCTGAGGTACGCCCTTTCCCTTTGACAGTCTCTTGCTCCTCCCCTGGCCACACCCAGGGGGCATCCGCGAGCACATGCTGCCCTCTGTGGGCCATTCTCCTAGGACAGGCCTCAAGATCAGAGGCCACACTGGGCTCCTGAGATTGTTCTTGCTCCTCTACACTGTCCCTCCTGTAGATGTACCCACACCGGGGTGTGTGTGGGGTGGACCGTGGAGGGCCCGGGGTTCCTCTTCCACTGCTGGAGTTCCTGTGGACAGGTGCACAGTTGGCTCTGGCAGATAGGGTCAGATGAGTTGCCACCAAGGCCACCCGCCTCTTCTGCCCCAGGGCCTTCTCATGCCTTGGGTTCAAACCTGGTCAGTCCCTGTGGCTGTGGCATGGCGGAGACCTGCAGGAGACACCTGTTCCCAGGTGACCAGTCGGTGTTCACCCCTGGCTGTGGTGCTGGTCCTAGGGAGGGCTGGACGTGCCAGTTAGGTGGCCCAGGGCCTGGATGAGCTCTCCAGGTGTGGCAGGGTGGCCTGGCACCACCCATTTCTGACCACCCCAAGACCCTTCCCCCAGGGCCCCTGGATTTTGCATGTGGCTCTGAGTCTCACACCTTTTGGTCATCTTGCTCTGAGGCTGCACCTGCGGCTCCTTTTATCCTTGCCCATCCTGCTTCCTGGCCTGTAGCCTCCTGCCCTGCCTGACCCGACACTGCTGCAGCCCCTGTCCCGTCCTGTCTGGGCCTCAGCCCAGACCCTACGACTTTCCACTCACCGCCCCCTTTGAGCCCACGGACCCTGGGCCACACCGACTCTTCCCTGAGCCCTGGCCAGGTGCCGGGAGCCGCACTGGACTCAGCGGGCCGCTAACACGTCTGACCCTGTGTCCTTCGCGCTCGGGGTGGGTTGGGGGGACATTTGAGGCAGAAGACAGACGGGTGGGCGGGGCTTCAATGACAGTCCTCAGGAGGGTCTGGGGACTACTCTCTCTCCTCTCGCCCTACACCCCTCCCATCACCAGAAGGGCTTGGGGGCGGGGACCCTCCCCAGGCTCCCAGCGGTGGGAGAAGGTGGCTCTGGAGCCTGAGAGCCCCGAGCCTCGGGGCGAGGCCAGAAGTCTAGGCAGCCGGGTCCCTTGGGGGCGGGGCTTGCGGGGTCCGGGACTCGGAAGCCGGAAGTCGGGCCCTGGGGTCCCCGCTGAACCCTGGCCTCGCTCCCTCGGGCGCCGGGCTTCTCGGTGCCTGGCCTGGGTGCCCGCTGCCGAACTTGGTCTCAGGAGGGTTCCAGGCGTGGAGCTGTTCCCAGTTTGCAAGTTGGGGACCTACAGTGCGGTCACCAGCCAGCGGAGGGCGTGCCACATCAGAGTGGTCCACAGTGACTACAGTCTAGCCATGGGGACCGCACTCGTGTACCATGAGGATATGATGCTCAGCCGGCTGCTCTGGGACGAGTAAGTGTGAGCTGGCGGAGGTGGGTACAGGGAGGGGACTCTGGACACTGAGCTCCCAGTGTACTTCAGCCCCGAGTGCAGGATCGAGTGTCCGGAGCGCTTGGCTGCAGCCTTGGACGGCCTTCGGCAGTGCGGCCTGGAGCAGAGGTGCCTGCGCTTAGTAGCCCGCGAGGCCTCGGAGGAGGAGCTGGGCCTGGTGCACAGGTCAGAGGAGAGCCCACCTAGAGAGCTGGGCTAGCCCCAGCCTTCAGGGCCTCCCAGAGGGAGCCTGTTCCCCATGTGCCTCACCTTCACCTTCCAGTGGAGGTGCTGCTCAAAGGCTTGAGGGAGCTGGGGAGGGACTCCCTGTGGCCCCACCCCACTCCCCTGCTGGTGATCTGCCTCCCTGACTGGCCATCTGCAGCCCTGAATATGTGGCCCTGGTGCAGAGGACTCAGGCCCTGAGCAAGGAGGAGCTCCAGGTACTGTCTGGACAGTACGATGCCGTCTACTTCCACCAGGTGCGTCCCCCTGTACAATACCCACCCACCTAGATCTAACACACCCACCGACTATGTGTGTTCACACCTGTGGCTGCCACCTGCCAGCATCCCCTTGTTCCTGCTCACTGCTGGCACCCTGGGCCTGCCTGGTCCTTTCTGCTCAGCAGCATGCTCTGCAAAGGCAGGGGGCTGATCTGTATTCCTGCCCCCATAGAGTACCTTTCACTGTGCCCGGCTAGCTGCCGGGGCTGCCCTTCAGCTGGTGGATGCTGTGCTGACAGGAGCCGCACACAATGGGCTGGCCTTAGTGAGGTGAGAGCTGCTCCCCTCACCTGGCTATTCCCTTTGGCTGGCTCCATGAGAGGACAGAATGACCCCACTCTCACCCTCCAGGCCTCCTGGGCACCATAGCCAAAGGGCAGCTGCCAATGGGTTTTGTGTGTTCAACAATGTGGCAATAGCAGCTGAACATGCCAAGCAGAAACACGGGCTGCACAGGTGGGTGCCGAGCTGTGCAGGGTGGAGCAGGTGGCAGAAAGTCCCTACCCATTCCCTTCCCAACCCTGGCTGGGCTTCTGGCCTGGAGGTGGGAGGCCCTGTCCTGTAGTGACCCCAGCATTGTCTGATTTCAGGATCCTCATTGTTGACTGGGATGTCCACCATGGCCAGGGTATTCAGTATATATTTGAAGATGATCCCAGGTGAGCCGTAGGTGGGGACATGACACTTTCTTGCAGCCCCATTTATGTATTTATTTAAATACTGGGGATGGAACCCAGGGCCTTGCACATGCTAAGCATTCTACAGCTGAGCTACACCCCAGCCTGCAACCCCACTTTTGAGGGAGTGCACAGACTGACTTGGAAAAATCCAAGGGGGAGACTTGGCCATGTGTGCAGGGGTCAGTGTTCTTTAAGGAGCTGTGGAGCTCCCAAGCGTCCTAACTTCTGACCCTGCACACTGTCTGCAGTGTCCTTTACTTCTCCTGGCACCGCTATGAACATGGGCACTTCTGGCCCTTTCTGCAAGAATCCAACGTAGATGCAGTAGGGAGGGGGCAGGGGCGAGGCTTCACTGTCAACCTGCCCTGGAACCAGGTACCTGCCCTTGACCCCTAGAACTTGCTCCCAGCCCACCTCCCAGTCTGCACCTCTCCCCTGCCCACAGCTCTGGGCCGTCTTGCCATACTTTCTACAGCCTGGGATCCAGCGGGTAAGACCCTGAAGTCCCCATTGGCAGGGCTGCCCACTGACACCTCTTCCCTGCACCCGAGGCAGGTTGGGATGGGAAACGCTGACTACCTGGCTGCCTTCCTGCACACGTTGCTCCCACTGGCCTTCGAGGTGACTTTTCGGTGGGGGCTCTTTGGGCAGATGACCCATGCCTGCTCATAGTTGCACCACACAGGAAGAGGGTTGTCAACCACTTCCCCTGTGTAGGAGCAGATCCCTGGTGGGTAGGGAGGGTCTCTGAGGAGGGCTGACATGAACAGTGGGCCAGGCAGCTCATGGAGGCTTCCCTGGCTCCAGCCACTTTCTTTCTCTTCCTCACCTGATTTTGCCTGCAGTTTAACCCTGAGTTGGTGCTGGTCTCAGCAGGATTTGACTCAGCCATTGGGGACCCTGAGGTGAGAGCCTGGTCTGGCTGAGGAGGGCCTCTGGGGTCCTGGACTCAGGCCCCCATCATACATGGCTCTGGTTCCAGGGGCAGATGCGGGCCACACCAGAGTGCTTCGCCCACCTCACACAGCTGCTGCAGGTGCTGGCCAACGGCAGGGTTTGTGCCGTGCTAGAGGTAACTGGAGGCAGCTGGGAGGATGCCTCATACTCAGGAGTATGGGAACCAGGTCAAGACACAATCTTGTGGGGCACCTGTCTGGGAGAGCTACCCACCCCAGTGACACCCATCTTCTATCCTGTCTCCACCCTCCCAGGGTGGCTACCACCTGGAGTCCCTGGCCAAGTCAGTGTGCATGATGGTACAGGCACTGCTGGGTGACCCTGTACCCCCACTGTCCGGGCCTCTGGTGCCATGTCAGAGGTATGAAGGGCTGGAGGGTGGGAGAGGCTAGGTGTGAGTCAGGCCCATGGCTGTGCTTCTCCCCACAGTGCTCTGGAGTCCATCCACAGTGTCCGGATGACCCAGGCCCCCTACTGGATGAGCCTCCAAAAGCAAGGTCAGTGTGGTCTGGGCTGGTGGGTTCACCTCACACTCCTATGCAGTGGCCATGACTCTGAACCTCCTCCAGATGTGGCCACTATGCTGAATCCTGGCAGCCACTCCCCAGACGGGACACCTGCAACTCTGCTGCCTGGAGGACCCACATGCGAGGCAGCAGCAACTACACTGAGCTCTTTTCTGGACCCGCTGCACCTCAGCCCCATACCCCCTATCCGCACAGCCGTTGCCCTGACTGTGCCAGATGCCACCTTGCCCCTGCCCCCTGGTGTGCTCTGTCAGGAGGGCTCAGCACCAAGGGAGGAGACAGAAGCCTGGGCCAGGTGTGCAGGATGGGCCCAGGGAGAGGGCTGAGGACATGCATGTGCATATGACTGATGCACTGTCACTTGGTGTCCATGTGTCCCTCTGGCCTATCACAGACTACACAAGTCTTTAGCCCAGGATGAGGCCCTTGATGCACTTGGGAAGCTCCTGTACCTTTTCGACAGGATCCTGGATGGGCAGGTAGGGTTGCTGAGAGGCTGGGGGGTACCTGGATCTGGGGACTGGGTCTGAGGCATGGCTTGTCCAGAGGAGGCAGTGCAGACACATTACCCTTTGTAGGGATTGTTATCAGAACAGCCCAGGGATGGGGAAATATTTTTGGCAGAGAGGGGAAGTGGATGACTTTTAATTTTTTCCAGTTTTGGAATTGAACCCAGGGCCTTATACTTGCTAGGTAAGCTCTCTCTCTTTGAGCTACACCCCCCACCCTTTTTATTTTTGAAACAGGGTTTTGCTGTTGTCTAGCTGACCTTGAACTTATGATGATCCTCCTGCCTCATTTTCTTGAGTAGCTAAAAGTATAGGCATTGCAACTATTGGGCTTGAAAGTGTAGTTTCAAGCACCTTGTTTATGGAAATGGACAGATTTGATATGAAGGAGGACTGATGAGAGCTGTATAGGCAGGGACCTAGTTTGGGAGTTGGCTGGGGCTGCACCCATCACTGTGTTCTATTTTTTCTTCCCACAGGTGAGCAGTGGCATCACAGCCACCCCTGCCTCTGCTGCAGAGGCCACCTTGGATGTGGCCATTAGGCGAGCTCTGTGCCATAGAGCCCAGAGGTGAGCCTCACTTGGTTGTGCTGATACCCCAAGGGCAGGGTCCATGTGGTGAGGGCTCTGGGAGTAGACTGGGCAATATACACAGCCTGTGCTGGGTGGATTCTTCCTCAGGTTGTTCTGTGTGGCCCTGGGTCAGCTGGATTGGCCTCCAGACCTTGCTGATGACAGGTATGGTCCAGATGGCACATCTGTCCAGTTTCACATATAGATGGTCAAGTGGCAGGCGTGCAACTAGGTCCCCTGGGGTGACTGGTGGGCAGGGTACCATGCAGTATAGAATGGGGCCTTCCAGCCAGATGTGGTAGTGTACATATTCCTTCAGTCCCAGCAGCTAGGGAGGTGGAGGCAGCTCAAAGCCAGCCTCAGCAACTTAGTGAGGCCCTAAGCAACTCAGTGAGACCCTGTCTCTAAATAAAATATAAAATAGGACTGGAGATGTGTCTCCGTGGTTGAGTGCCCCTGAGTTCAATCCTTCTTATAAAACAAAACAAAACAAAACAAACAAGCAAAAAAAAAAAACCAGAAAGAATGGAGCCTTCCAGAGCTAGTCTGGGAAGGAAGTCTGTGGGGTAATGCTAGGCCAGGAGAGTTGGCAGTTACAGTGCCCCTGCTCCACTCCTCCCAGAGCTCCCCTCTGCTGCCTGGGCTTAGGAGAGCTGAGCAGGGTCTCACACCTATGCACCTGTCCATGGTACTCTCTCTGGAAGGAGGATTCTGTGGCTGAACATTGGGGGCAAGGAGGCAGCTGCCTCATCCATGTTTCACATCTCGACACCACTGCCAAGGGTGAGTGGTTCTGTGGTGGTGGGCAGCCCTGTCAGGAGAGTCAACAGTTCCCTGGCCCTTCTTGGCTTCATACTCACACTCTGGGGACTCTGAGTTTGTGAGGTGGGATGGCAGAAGCCAGCAGGAGTGACCCCTAGAATGGGGGTTGGGGTTTTGCTGCTTTCCCCACAGACGACTGGAGGGTTCCTGAGCTGCGTCTTGGGTCTGGTGCTGCCCTTGGCCTATGGCTTTCAGCCTGACCTGGTGCTGGTGGCACTGGGGCCTGCCCATGGCCTGCAGAACCCCCAGGCTGCTCTCCTGGCTGCAATGCTTCGCGGGCCAGCAGGGGGCCGAGTCCTGGCCCTCATTGGGGAGGTAAGCTGGGCTTGGTGGAAACGCGGAGGTAGAAGGTGCCTGGAGAGAAACCCGTGGCTCACTGCCCATATCTGGCCCGGTCCAGGAATCCACACCCCAGCTGGCAAGCACGCTGGCCCGCGTGCTGCACGGAGAGGCACCTCCCAACCTAGGCCCTTTCTTGATGGCCTCTCCAGAGGATATCCAGGCCCTGCTGCACCTGAGAGCGCAGCTGGAGCCCCGGTGGAAGATGCTGCAGGTGGCCGGTGAGGCCCCGGGCAGCGGTGGCTCTGAACCAGCTGCGCAGAGCCAGCCGACTGAGGGCCCCTTCCCAGCCGCCCCATCTGGGCCGCCCTTCTGGGTGGCTTGAAATCGGCCGAGACAGGCCACTGTCACCCGGGAAGCACCGCGCGCGCCGGCCCCGAGAGCCGGAAGCTGGCGTTCCCCACGGCCGGCCTGAGGCCTCGTGCGGCCGCCCGCACTCCCTCTCCCTTAGTAAACGGTTAAAGGAAGTCCGGCTCCGCTCCTTTATCGAACCTCCGGGCGCTGTCTGCCCCGCGACACGGCCGCACACAGGAGCGCGCGGAGCGCTCAGGGCTCGGGCTGGGGGTCTGGGGGCCGCCCG